AGCCGCTATGGAGTTGACCAAAGATGTCGAGGACAACTTGACTATTTAGTCCGGAGGGAGAGTGGAGCGGGGTTACAACAGTTAAAGGTATCGTTCCAGTAGTTACACCAAGGCTGGCGTGTATTGAGTTGGCACCCGAAGCGGGCCCAATATCTGTCCGGCCATATAGCTATGAGCATAGCCAGAAAGATGAGATTGAAAACCTCGTGTCCGACATGCTAAGGGCAAACATCATCAAACCAAGTTCTAGTCCGTTCTCAAGCCCGATTCTCTTGGTTAAAAAGAAAGATGATAGCTGGCGCTTCTGTGTGGACTACAGAGAATTAAATAAGGTGACTATTCCAGACAAGTACCTGATTCCAGTAATCCAAGAGATGCCCGATGAATTATCGGGAGCTGTAATTTTTTCAAAACTTGATCTCCGAGCTGATTATCATCAAATACAAGTGGCTGAAAGAGATATTTCTAAAACAGCTTTTCACACTCATAGCGGCCACTACGAGTTTCTAGTGATGCCGTTTGGGTGTGGAGATGGACCCTTCTAAAGTTCGTGCAGTAGTTGAGTGGCCACAACCACGTTCTTTCCGGGATATTCGTGGGTTTTTGGGGTTGGCAGGTTACTACCGTCGTGTTGTCAAAGATTATGGAATCATAACCCGCTCTGACAACCTTATTGAAGAAAGACGCACCAGCCAGATTTGAATGGAATAAGGAGGCAGCAACTGCTTATACTTGTTTAAAGAGCGCGCTGACCGAAGCGCCTAATTTGGCCATGCCGGGTTTCAAGCGTCACTTTGTGATTGAGTGTGATGTTTGAGGTATGGGAGTAGGGGCAGTCTTGATGCAAGAAGGTCGTCCACTTGCTTATTTCAGTAAATCATTGGCTGATCGCACCCTTACCAAATCAGCCTATGAACGTGAATTAATGGGGCTGAGATTGGCAATACAACATTGGCGACCATATCTCATGGGTCATCGTTTTACGGTCCGCATCGATCACCACAACCTCAAACATCTTCTCTTGCAGAAAATTGTCACTCTCTCGCAGCAGAATTGGGTGGCCAAATTATTGGGGTATGACTTCCAAATTGAGTATAAATCGGGAGTCTCCAATTCAGCGGTTGATGCACTATCTAGAAGGGCTGAGGAGGGGTTGTTGACAGCACTGAGTGTGCCAGATTAGGCAAGGATGCGGGAGGTGTTGGAGGAACAAGGGTGTGATGAGTTTATTTAAAGCACTGTGACTACCTTGAAGACTGACCTGGACAGGTTCGAAATAATTGAGGGCTGGCTGTTTTTTAAAGGAAGGTTGGTGCTGACAGCCACTTCCGAGTGGATTCCGAAACTATTGCAAGAATTGCATCACAACGAAGGCTCTCATGACGTATCGGCGATTAGCATGCAATGTGTATTGGAAGGGCATGTTCCGCCAGGTGCAGGAGTATGTGGCCAAATGTTTGGTCTGCCAGAAATCAAAATATAAAGCAATGTCGCCAGCAGGATTACTACAACAGCTACCAATTCCAAAATTAGTTTAGGAGGACGTGGCCATGAATTTTATTACTTGTTTACCTAAATCTCAAGGGTATACAAGTGTTATGGTGGTGGTTGACAGGCTGTCCAAATATGGGAAAGAAGTGTTCAAGCAGTCGAGTACTCACTTGAAGTACAACTCCGCATACCATCCTGAAACGGATGACCAAACGGCAGTGCCAAATCGTGTTCTGGAGACATATCTTCGCTGTGTTACATGTGACCAACCGAAGAAATGGCTTCATTGGTTACCTTGGGCAGAATATTGGTACAATACCGCTTACCAAACTGCAGCCGAAATGACCCCTTTTGAAGTGGTGTATGGCAGGCCACCTCCAGCTTTACAACGATTCTTGCCGGGTGAGTTTCGAGTAGCGGCCGTGGCAGATTTTCTAGGGGGCCGGGTCAAGCTGTTGCGACATTTGAGAGGTAACCTGGAAAAGGCGCAACAACAAATGATTAAGCAGGCAAATCAGGATGTGGTGTTTGAGGCCGAGGACCGTTTTTCCCTGAAAGTACGATAGTATAGGTAGACTTCTTTAGCGCGACAATCTCATCACAAACTCTCACCCAAGTTCTATGGTCCATTTATGGTCGAAGGACGTGTGGGCCCAACGGTCTAGCGGTTAACGCTTCCAGCAACCAACCGGATCCACCCTATTTTCCATGTGTCGCAACTACGCCGGGTTGTCGGAGATCATCCCATTGAAACAGAACCGCCGGAGAGTTTGGAGGTACCTATGGGGCCGGTGTTCAATCCTGTTACTGTTTTGGCATGGCGTAAGGTGCAGGAAAAAGGGGAAGATATGGAACAGATGTTGGTGCAGTGGGTTGGTCAATCAGAAGATGACGCTACTTGGGTTGGAATGCAGCAGTTCCCCCACTTCAACCTTGGGGACAAGGTTGCTTCAGAGGGGGAGGTAATTGTTAGGGAGCACAAGATGAGTGGGCCTGCTAGGGAGCACAAGACAAGTGGGCCGGTGCTGCAGGAGGACAAGCCTCGCCCGTTATTGGTTTACCGTCGCCGCCAACGGGCCTAGATAGGTTGGGTTTACTGCGGGGTTTTATTACTTATTTCATTGAATTGTTATTTCTAATAAGTTGTTGGGCCTAGATGGCCTTATTTTATTATTAGGTTAAGTAGTATTTAAGGATGCCTTAAGAATTATTATCAATAATAAACTTTTGGTTAAGCTTACGGCTGGGGCAGACGTTGAGATCGTTTGCTAGGTTTTCTTCTTCTATCAGAGAAGAAGAGCTTATCCACTTAATGGTACTTGGGATTTGGTAGACTTGCCTACGAGGAAGAAGACTATTGGATGTAATTGGGTCTTTGCTGCAATGGTTAACCCATACAGATATGTTGCTTGGCCAAAAGCCTGATTAGTTGCGAAGGGTTATGCTCAAATCTATGATGTTGATTATTCTGGAACTTTTTCTCCTATTGCCAAATTAACTTCTGATCGGTTACTTATTTCATTTGCTGCAACTCATGGTTGACACTTACAACAGTTGAACATTAAAAATGCATTCTTGCATGGTGACCTTCAGGAAGATGAAGATGTTTATATTGAGCTACCTTCGAGATTTGTTGCTCAGGTGGAGAATGGGAAAGTTTGTTGACTTCGCAAATCTCTTTATGGTTTGAAACGGAGTCCTCGTGGATGGTTTGAGAAATTCAGTCAATCAATTGAACGATTTGAAATGATAAAAGGTCAATCAAATCACTGTCTTTTATAGACGAGCGAAAGCAGGTATTACATTGCTTGTGGTCTATGTAGATGATATTGTGATTACAAGGAGTGATAATGCAAGTATTTTGGCCCTTATGAATTTTCTTCACATCCAGTTCCAGGCAAAAGATCTAGGCTCATTGAAATACTTCTTTAGTATGAGATGACGCGGAGTAACAAAGGCATATATTTATCCCAACAAAAATATGTACTTGATTTGCTAGCTGAAATAGGGAAATCAGGATGAAAGCCGAGCAATACTCACATGGTGCTTAATGTGCAACTCACTCAAGAAAGCTTGTCGTTCAAAGACCCATACACATATAGAAGATTAAATGGAAAGCTTATTTATCTCATGGTCATTCGTCTAGATATTGCTTACTCTGTGAGTATAATGAGTCAGTACATGTCATCTCTAACTATTGATCAATGGACTATTGTAGAACATATTACGGAGTATGTTACTTGAAGGGAGCACTGGATGATGTATTGTTTATTAAAACCATGATCACATGAGAATATAATGATTTACAGATGCTGACTGGGTCGGTTCTAAAGATGATCGAAGATCTTTATTTGGCTATTGTGTCTTTGTTGCTGGTAACCTAATATCCTGAAAGAGTAAGAAATAGAGTGTGGTTACTCGAAATAGAGTGTGGTTTCCCCTTAGAGTGCTGAATCAGAACATCGAGCTATGACACAATCCGCATGTGAGATCATATGGATAAGCCATTTTTTGAGTGAATTCGGATTGAAGACATCAATGTCTGCTAAAGTGTGTTGTAATAACCAAGCTACTCAATGACTGGGTTGGTTCTAAAGATGATCAAAGACCTACATCTGACAATTGTGTCTTTGTTGGCGGGATAACCTAGTATTGTGGAAGAGTAAGAAATATAATGTTGTTTCCCCATTGAGTGCTGAATCACAATATTGAGCTATGACGCAATTTGCATGTGAGATCATTTAGATAAGCCATTTATTGAGTGAATTTGGATTGAAGACATCAATGCTTGCTGAATTGTGGTGTGATAATCAAGTTGCTATACACATAACGAATACTCAGATATTTCATGAGAGAACAACACATATCGAGGTTGATTGTCATTTTATTCGAGAGAAAATACTTGACGATTTATTTATGTAACAAGTTGGACATAATAAATATCTATGCTCCAACTTGTCCAACTTGAAGGGGAGCGTGATATACTTCCTCCATTCTTTTTTAGTTGCAACGGTCAACATTTCACACTTGCCAACGCACGTCTTTGACTGTAATTATATCTTAATCTCTATTAGTAAAAAATATTTAAAAATTAGATTTTGAAAATTTGTAATGAGATGAATTGAACAATACCTTTTCTTTAAAAAATAATATTCATAAAATAATAATATAAAATGTAATCAAAGTAGAACATGTGAATAGTGTAAAATTCAACATGTTGCGATTAAAAAGAGACGGAGGATAGTATATTAGAATGAATGTAGGAATATGCTTTGGAATACTTAGAAATATACTCTAGGATATTATTACGCTATAGAATCTTATAGGGATATTCATTTTTGTAATATATATTTATAGGGATTTCAACCTTTCAATAGGGTTAAACACGACTTTTGAATGGGGGAGGGTTAAAGAACATCTTAATGCATTCTGGATCGGTCTTAACTTATCATTCTCAATATTTTGTAAATTCTCGCATGTTTGTGCCTTACTAAGTTTTTTTTACATAGGTTGCTTCTGGTTCAAAAACAGTTCTGGCTGTTGGGCCTGGTATGCTTCTCCCTAATTTTGTCTTCGACCTTTCTAACCTTTATTGATGGGATATGGTAGCTCCCAATTGCGGATGACAAGCTCTATGCAGCATTTACCACTTTCTAGTTTATATGTTGGGTTCTCTCCTTAATTGAAGAGATTCTAGAAAATTCTAGAGCCTTCTAGAGTAGTATAGAATTTTTAGAACGTTTCGGAGAATCCTAAGAGAAGTCTAGAACTCTCTAGAAGCTTGTGGAATAGTGTGGAATTCTCTAAAACATTCTGAAGATGTGTGGAACCTTCCGGAAGCTTATGGAAGAGTATGAAAGGATATGGAAGGGAGTGGAAGAGTATAGAGACTCCTAGAGTGTGTGGAGCATTCTAGAGAATCAACCTCCGCCCTTGGATACAAATCATCCCGACCATTCATTGTGAAGGTGGAGTAATATAAATAGGGGTAGAGGACTTCATTCCTAACCATCCTAACAAGAGTGAATCTACTTTCTAGAGTGAGAAAAACATAGTGAGAGAGCCTCTTTGAGAGAGAAAAGAGATAGCTTGGGAAGTCTCTATCCTCAAGCTTGAGTGAGCCACTATTGAGTGAGACAATTTTGTAACATCCTTCTAAGTCCTACTATTCTTTTGTATAGTGGAAGAATCTCCATATTGGGGAATTGAAATCATGTCTCCCATTTCTACATTAATTCACAAGTTCCTATCTTAACTTCACGAATCGGGAAAGTCTGATGTTTTTCCCAACAGTGGTATCAGAGACATGTTCAAGCTCATCACCAACAACTACTCATATTGGAAACCGATGATTCCGTACTGCATGGATATGCATGAGCCCATCATCTATAAAGAGAAGGTTGAAGACAAGAGTGATGCTCGGTGGGAGCTATTGAATCAAAAGACCGTTGCTATGATCCGTAAGTATATTGAAAAATTTCTCTTCAAGCATGTTTCTACTTTCAAAAATGCTTATGAATTATGGACAAAACTTGAGTCCCTGATTCAAAAGAAAACACCTCGTCATAAGGTGAATTTAGTTCGACGGTTGGTGAAGTTAAGGTATAAGGATGATCATAGTATGATTGAGCACTTAAATAATTTCAAGGGGCTCGTAAATCAATTAACCAAAATTGAGATGAAGATTGATGACGAGTTGCAAGCCCTTCTACTCCTTAGTTCATTGCCAGAAAGTTGGGACACACTCATGGTTACGCTTAGTAACTCAGCTCTAGAAGGAAAGTTAATCATGGATACCGTCACTGATAGTCTTCTTGGTGAAGAAACAAGGAGAATGGAACGAGGTGAGTCTATCCATCCCGAGGCTAATATAGTTGAGAACCGGGGTAGGAATGAGACTCGTGGACGTAGTAAAAGCCGAGATTTGCATTAATTTCGAGGTAGGTCAAAGTCACACTCAAAGATCACATGCTATTACTGTGGAAGAATGGGTTATAGGAAAATGGAATGTAGATCCTTCAAGAGAGATCAGAAGGTCGTCAATGTCAAGCTAGACCAAATCAGCCCAACGAAGAAGCAAGAAGATAAGAGTACCACTGCCGTAGTCGTAAAAGAAGATCTGTTATACCTCATTGGAGAAGGTAATATCCTCAACATTTCTTATGATGATAGTTCTTGGATTATCGATTCTGGTGCTTCCTTCCATGTCACCCCCCATGGAAGTTTCTTCTCATCTTACTAAAGTGGTGACTTTGACACGGTTCAAATGGGAAACCAAGATAGAAGCAAGATCGTTGGGATAGGAGACATCGTCCCGACAACTAGCATCAGATGCAAGCTTGTTCTCAAAGATGTGAGGCATGTCCCGATCATGCGCCTCAATCTTATCTCCGCTGGAAAGTTAGATGATGTTGGTCTGAGGAATTATTTTGGTGAAGGAAAGTGGAAGCTCACCAAAGGAAATTTAGTCATGGCTCAAGGAAAGAAGGAAGGATCGTTGTATGTGATGCAAGCTAAGCTTTGCAAAGGAGAGGTAAACATAACCACTGATAAAATGGAGGTATGACATAAACGGCTTGGTCACATCAGTGAGAAAGGTCTTCACATACTCGCTTGTAAGAAAGTCCTCCTCGACTTGAAAGGTAAGTCACTTGATCTTTGTGCACATTGTTTAGCTGGAAAACAACACATGGTTGCTTTCCAAAGATTTTCTCCACCCACAAGGAGAAAGAACATCCTCGTCCTTGTACACACTGATGTGTGCTCAATGTCTAAGAGATCCATTGGTGGTGCATTATACTTCGTGACCTTCATTGATGATCATTCACGGAAGGTGTGGTTGCACCTATTAAAATTCAAGGATCAAGTGATTGACGCCTTCAAGGAATTCCACGCTCTAGTAGAACGTGAGATCGACCGGAAGACCAAGTGTGTGCGGTCGGGCAATGGAGGTGAGTATAGATGTCCCTTTGAGCCTATTGCAAGAAATATGGCATTAGGCTAGAGAAGACTCCACCCAAGACACCACAATTGAATGGTATAGCTGAGAGAATGAACATAACAATTGAAGAAAAAGTTCATTGCGTGCTCACACAGTCATTTCCTTTGGACGGTGCCATCCCAGAGGAAGTTTCGACTGGAAAAGGAGCTTCATACAATCATCTTAAGGTGTTCGGGTGCAGAGCATTTGTTCACATTCCCAAAGATGAGCGAGCTAAGTTTGACGCAAAGACGAAGAAGTGTATCGCTCACCCAAGGACGAATTCGGCTACCGATTATGGGATCCAGTCAATAAGAAGGTTGTCCGTAACAGAGATGTGGTATTCTTTGAAGACCAAATGATGGAAGATATTAAAAACTCGGAGAAACCAAGATTGAGAAGTAGCAAGAGCACCAAACTTACTCCAGTTCGACGTGAGGATCACATCAAGATAATGATGATGAAAACCATGAGCACCATCCTCACGTCGAACTGGAGTAAGTTTGGTGCTCTTGCTAGCATCAGAGCCGAGGCGATCCTCTAGGAAGAGAAGACCATCCATCCGGTATAACAGTGAGGATTACATTACACTCATGGATGAGGGGGAGCCACAAAGTTACAAAGAGGCAATAAATGATATTCATAAAGAGGAGTGAAGAAAAGCCATGCAAGAAGAAATGCAATCCTTGCATGAGAATCACACTTATGATCTAGTAGATTTTCCAAACGGGAGAAGAGTCTTGAAGAGTAAGTGGATGTATCGTATCAAGACCGAAGATAGAAGCTCAAAGTCTCGCTCTAAAGCTCGGTTGATCGTCAAAGGATTCCACCAACAAGGAAAAGGCATGCACATTGAGGAAATACTCTCTCCCATGGTAAAGATATTGCCGAGAACTTTTCAAGGAAAGAAATTGCATCTTGACAAGGTTCACACAGAGGAGAACTAATCAAACATGATGACCAAGGTAATACAGACAAAGAAGTTCGAAGATTGCTATCAAGGTGCAGGTTTGCTACTACCCCCGAATTAAGTCTGGAGGGGGAGATTTGTTGGGTTCACTCCTTAATTGGAGAGATTCTAGAAAATTCTAGAGCCTTCTAGAGTAGTGTAGGATTTTCTAGAACGTTCCGGAGAATCCTAGAGATATTTCGAACTCTCTATAAGCTTGTGGAATACTGTGGAATCCTCTAGAACATTCTGAAGATGTGTGGAACCTTCCAGAAGCTTATGGAAGAGTATGAAAGGATATGTAAGTGGAAGAGATTCCTAGAGTTTGTGGAGCATTCTAGAGAATCAACCTCCGCCCTTGGATACAAATCATCCCCACCATTCATTGTGAAAGTGGAGTAGTATAAATAGGGGTAGAGGGCTTCATTCCTAACCATCACAGCAAGAGTGAATCCACTTTCTAGAGTGAGAAAAACATAGTTAGAGAGCCTCTTTGAGAGAGAAAAGAGATAGCTTGGGAGGTCTCTATCCTCAAGCGGCTTGAGTGAGCCACCATTGAGTGAGACAATTTTGTAACATCCTTGTAAGTGCTGCTATTTTTTTGTATAGTGGAAGAATCTCCATATTGAAGAATTGAAATCGTGTTCTCCCATTTCTACATTAATTCCTAAGTGCCTATCTTAACTTCACGAAGCGGGAAAGTCCGGTGTTTTTCCCAACAATATGATGTGTTGATTGATTCTACACATTTTGAGCTAGTGCTTTGGTAGCTCCTCGCTTGGTCTAGTTGTAGATATTGAAGGCCATTTGAGAACAGGAAAGTTCACTTTTCCAGGAAATTCAGGGCATGTTTGGCAGGAGTTGTTTGACTGAAGCTGCTGAATATTCTGAATTTTGAGCCAATTTAGAGAGTGAAGACTGATTTCGTCTGCTCATCCAGTCTGTTCTGCTACTAAGCAGAATAATACTCTCGTACGATTTTGGGCCTCCAAGCAGAACCCTAAAAGGCGGGAAGTTTGTCATGAATGGTGCGGGTTTCGGGTCAACTAGGAATGTAATCCCTAGGAATGAGAAGTGAATTCAAGCTGCTATGGTGGGTTGATTCTCCTTCACAACAAAGTTATTCCCATTACGGATAAATCCTCAAATCATTTTTGTTAATTAAATGGAAAATCCATGTCCATATCATGATGTTTTATCATGTACTAGTGAAAATAGCTTATAATGAGGATGCCTTCTAGATAGGGTAGCGCCTAGTTGTCTAGATGTACAAGTAGTGTATCTTCATTGTCGATTCCATTTGGTGGATTTCAACAAACGTGCAGGAAGTAAAGCAGCAGTGGATTCCATAACTGGGAAATTAGACTTGCTTTGAATCCCTGGAAACTGAATAGGCCTTGATGGTGGGATATTACGATGGCCATTTCTTCGCTACATTATCATGAGAGCTGACAAGAAGAGTCTGCTCTACTGCTAATCCAGTCTGCTGTATTAAAAGAGCAATTTTCCAAACAATTTGGACATTTTGTTATTGTAAACATTACGCTGTAAAAGTTTTCGTATTGTGTCATTGGTTGATTACGAGCCTGTTTGGTAACACTTAAATCAACTGAATCAGCTGGTTCTGCTGAATTTTATGAATTTGTGGTTAAAGTAGTTGTATTGGCTGTTTCTGCTGATTTATGAAAAAATTATATTTAAAACATATTTTACTAATAAAATAAAGAAAAAAAATATACAAAAATAGCTAAAATGATCATCTACAGTAACTTCAGTCAATACAGCCAAAAAGTAACTCCAACCTTAATATTTTTAATTATTACACAATTCAGCGCGCGAAATCAAAAATTACATGTTTGGTTAAAAGTTGACTAGTAAGCCTGATAAACACAGATATCAAAATATCAAATGGGCTCTACATAAGCCTCTTAGGTTGATTTTTTTGCAATACATGAATGACGCATGAAATTGGAGTTAAAAAAATAAAAAAGAGAAGAAATATAAAAAGATAAAATAGGATTAAAAAGGTAAAAAAGATAAGATAACAATGATAAGGTACAAAGGATTAAAAAAACAAGACAGGAAGAATAAAAGGATAAATAGTACGGAGTATAAAGAAGATAAAAACATAAAGATGAAGAAAGATATATCCTAGTGTTTTTCTTCTTTGCTCTCTCTCCTCTTATTCCATGTCTAAATATCTTGTTCAAAAGCTAGAGTTTCTATATGGCAACTTCTAATTGAGTTATGAGATGTTGATGTGACATCTTCTCATTGTTCAAATAAAACAATATTTACCGGTGGACGTAGCTCAACTGGTAGCGAGGGAGTGCCACAAGGGTTAGGTCTCGGGTTCGAATCCCGGCAACTACGATGAGGGGTTACTATGCTGAAAAATGCATAGGGCCTCTGTAAGTACCGGGGATAGAGCCTCACTCTCTATCTGTCAGATTGTGATTATAGTCCAATTTACATCCTCTCATCGTGCCGTCCGGTTGGTGTTGGGGGGCCCTCAGGGATGGGGTGTCATCCTTTTTTAAATAAAACAATATTTAACATCACTTTTATGACAATTAATTGATAAATTAATACTTTGTAATTCCCTAGCGGAAAACAAGCCATTGGAGCTCTTTTGTAGCAACTGATTTATTTAATGGTTTTTGGTGGAACACCGTACCAAATTATTTGAATTCTACCCCCTCTGGCCTATTTTATTTGTCCTACTTTCCTTTATGGGTTGTTCCAAAATAAGTGTCCACTTTCCTTTTTTAGAAAGAAATATGTGGTTTACACCATTTCACTTTATTATACTCAAACCTCAACCACAACTTTTACTTTTTCAACCACTTCATTAATAATCGTGTCAAGTCAAACTAAGACACATAAATGGGACGGAGGTAGTACTTGATACCAACTACTTACAAGTTAGAATTTTAATTTTTTTTTAAAAAATAATTCCTACATGCAAATATTTTACAAAACATAATATCCCACTATCATTCTCACCATTCAAATTAGGGCTGGACTCGGGCCGGTTTGGGCCCGGTTCGGGCCTGGGCCCGGTCGGGCCTCAGGCCAGGAAAGGGGAGGCCCGATCCCGAACCGCCGGTGGCCGGTTCCGGTTCCGGGCCAAATCGGGCCAGGCCGTGCCAAACCGGCCCAATTAATTTTTTTTTTGTTCTCCTATTTAATCCCCTACCCCTCCCCCTCAACCCCAAACCATCCCAAACCACCTCAAATGGCCCAAAATACCTAATTCAACCTAAAACTTAAAAAAATTTCAAAAAAAAAAAAAAAAAACTGGCCCGGACTGGGCCCGAACCGGCCGGGCCGGTTCACCAAAACCTGGGCCCGAGCCCGGACCGCCCAGCACCCGGGCCGGGCCAAACCGAACCGGTGGACCCACCGGGCCACGGGCTGGGCCGGGCCAAACAGTGACCGGGCCGGTTCGGTCCCGGGTCGGGCCGCCCGGCCCGAGTCCAGCCCTAATTCAAATGAACAATGACTTTAATAAGTTAATTTAATGGATCAGAGTTAAGTAAATGCTTACATAATCACATTTTATTTTGGTTATTTAGTACTCTGTATATAAGTTTACACATTTTTATGTATTTCGGATTGTAAGTTTTTTTATTTAATTTTGTATCACTCAAAAATTTAATTTTTAGTGACACTAATAATTCAAAGTACTTCTATTTGTCATGGACCCGGGCCGGGCCTAGGCCCGGGCGGGCCTCGGGTTTTTTGAAGGAGGCTCGGGACTGGCCCGAGTAGCCACCAGGTCCGGTCCGGGTCTGGGCTGGGCCGGGCCTCGGGTCAAATTTCCTTCCCCTTTTCCTAATTAACCCCCACCCCCAACCCTCCAAACCACTCCAAATGGCCCAAAATACCCAGCGCAACCCGAAAAGATTAAAAAAAAAATTAAAAAAGCCCCGAACCGGGCCCGAATCGGCCAGGCCGGTTTGGCTTTTGGGTGACCCGAGCCCGCACCGGGAACCTCTCGGGCCGGGCCTACCTGGACCGGTCACTGGCCGGGCCACCGGGCCGGGTCGGTTCAGCACAGTACCGGTCCCGGGCCAGTTCCGGGTCGGGCCATCCGGCCCGAGTCCAAGACTGACTTCTATTTTAACCTATTCGCTCGGGAAAAATGTTCCATTACTTCAACAGTTCAACTTATTTACAGTTTAACCTATTTTCGTTACAACTAATACTTAAAATATATTTTCGCGAAGTAATTCTGAGTAAACTTGCCAATTGAAAATAATTTTTAATTTGTAAGATAACAATTATTTCTAACATTACACTAATAATTCAAAGTACGATGTTTATTCTTATGTTATTGCATATCAAAGTGACAATGTCGGGGCATGCCCTGGGTGTAACACTAGTTTTTGTCATTAATACTAATGGACGACATCTGAAGTACTAGTCACCATGGATTCACCATTGCTACACCAAAAGGATCCGAAGTAAAACATCCTTATACACTGCATACGAGGGCGGAGTCCCCATCACTCGTTCTTCATCTTCAACTTCTTAATTGCACATCCTAAACCCTCCACAACCATTTCAAGAAAAATGATTGCAACTCATCAAGCAGAAAATGTTGAATTCATATTATGAGATCAAAATAATGGGAAGGCAGGGATGACAGATTAGTTTAGGTGAATTCACTGAGATATGACCTTAATATTTACGGAGTATGTTCGTTTCCATCACCAGACATCAATGCTCGTACTCGAAATTTTAAAGCGGAGGTGAGCTCGTAGGGATGCACTTGGGTGGAGTGTAATGATGTCCTTAGAAATGGAATACAAACATAGAAAATAAAAAAGAAAAATAAATGGAAAAGAAAATAAAAAATGTAATTGAGACAGACCATAAAAAATCTTCTGCAATAGAATCCGAAGCGAAGTAAGATATGGGATACAAAATAAAAAAACAAATATGTAGGAAAGCTATAATTGGAAACTACGATCTAATTTATGGAAGCATTGGTTTATACATTCCTCTTAGTCTCGACTCTAGGAATAATATTTTTCGCTATCTTACTAAGTGTCGAGAACACATATGAATAGAAAAGTATACCCATATCAAATTAATTAACATGATAAATAGGATTGGATAAATCAAGTTTTTAAATATGTAATAAAAAATAGTTTTCGGCTTCCAATCATGGACACGTTGAATTAAGCGGAGGAAGACCAAGCGTAGTCTAGTTTTTTTTGCCGGCAACCGCGGTGGTCATTCACTTATTCACGCCAGCTTTGTCCCGGGGTAAACAGCGTGTGTTGAACGACAAACAAGGCGGCTCTGTCTGTGACAAATAGTGGTTGACAGTGAGCAAGAGGAATTCAATGAAGCGGCAACAGATTGTCTTCACGTTTGAGATCAATGGCGTTCAACGGTTTCAGAGAGGGCGTGGACTTGCGACGACTAGGGTTGTGAGGACCGATTTTCTGATGCTTGGTTTGGCTATTTTGGCTCTGATGGTGATTGAGGTGGAAGTTGCACCAGCTGTGTTTGATCTGGGTGGAACACTGACGGTTTGTTTTGTCCGACTTAGTGGGTTGTTTGTTGGCCGTGAAGAGCAGAGATCGGGTGATGGAGGAAGAAGATGGAATGAGAATTATTCGTCCTCCCTTCTGAACCGCCATTACGGAGAAACTGTGTGACTAGGGTTTTGAAGACGATGCTTGAAGGTTGGATTCAGCTGTTCCATCAGTTGAAGTTTATTTCCTATTGCTATTTTCTGTTTCTTAATTTTTATTGTGTTTTTATTATGGCAAACAGTAAGGGTGGTAGGTGCATAGTTTGATTTATTTTATTTGCTAGATTTCTGTTGGGAGGCAATCGGGCTGACTCATCCGTTAATAGCCTCGATAGTCTCACATGTTCAACGATTGGTCTCGCTCTTTTTGGGGTGAATTACTCTATGTCTGACAAGGAAGTGAGGGGGCTGGTGGGCTTATGGTTAGTGTCGGGTGGTTATTATATTGTTTGTAATTCTCCTGATTGTATTGTCGCTTGGTTACACACTGAGAGTTTGATTTAATATAATATGTCAGTTTTCCTTTCAAAAAAATATGTACTCCCTCCGTCCCAGAATTAACTTCGGTTTTGACTGGGTGCGGAGATAAAGAAAGTGGGAAATGTGTGGTGGAGAGTTGTGCAGAGGAGAGAGAAATGTGTAAGAATGGTTGTGAATCACAAATCCTTTGCTAAAAAGGGAAAGATGAGATAAATTTGGGACGGACCAAAAAGGAAAGAATGAAGATAATAATGGGACGGAGGGAGTAGTAGAAACACAAACACACACATATGAAATAATATGAGTAAAAAATGTGTGAAGTGTGAAAAGCGGAAGAGTGCAGGTCTCTGCGGTATGGTTTGGAGCCGCATATCTAGGTCGACGACTTTTAGCCACAAAGCTTTCTTGAGGCTGGGAAAGGGAAATAATGGAATGCGCGGTGGATGCTAAAACACATGTTATGGTCGATGGAAACTTTGTGCCCAGCACTTGAAGGGAAGGGATGGTAATCGCTTAGGACCTTTTATCAACATAGATGCACATAGTTTTTCTACTTTACGGAATGCTTTCTTGCGAATTAAGGTGGCCCTAGATTTTTTGTTGTTGCAATGGGGGGGGAATGAATTTTTGGTTGAATACCCAAATATGAGAAATTGCCTAATTTCTGCTTTTTATGTGGAATCATTAGTCATGGAAAAATATTTTGTCCTTGAAGAATAACCGGGAGGACGGAAATCTTAACCCAATTGGACTGTGGCTTAGAGCGCTAACAGTAATATACGGTTCGTGATTAATACAATAATACGTACGTTCGTGTATAATACGATATAATTATATAAAATACGGCTTAATATATGTTTCATACGTTCGTGAAATATATAAGGATACAGACGTGTTTTAAACGTTTCACAATTTAAAAATACGGCATATAATGTGTGTCGTATATACTAATTTAATGATAGAAATAAAGAGTTATTTAGCATTTGCACCACATTCTTCAATAATTTAAAATGTACGGAATAGTTTTTTCATATATACAGATTTGAACACATAAGTACAATAAGTAATAAAAATGACGTTGCCTATTTGAGTAGAAGTAGAAAGATATCATTAGAGTATAGTTGATATTACTGTGACCGTGAGTTTGGTGAGCTGCCACAACATTTTTCGATCTCTTTGGAGTCTTGATATGGGTGGAGAACAAAAGTAATACAGCAGTAGTACAATAGTAATATCGAAATGTAATACGAATTTAAGAAGCTAATTAACCTAATTTATTAAATGTAATGACTATTACACAATTAACGAACACATAAGGCATACATTTTTTAAGCAATATAAAAAATATTGAGCATCTAAACATTTCATTTTAGTTGTATCACTACATTAGGCTTCCGTTTAATGGTGTGTGTTTTTGAATAAAATGTGTATCAATACATACAGTACGTGTATTATACTTAAAGTACGTGAGGTTTTCAGAATTTTCTGAAAAATTCATAAACGAGAGTATTATACGGGAATAAAATACGTATCAATACGTACGGTACGTGCATTTTACATTTTATCCTTAAAGTACGCGAACTTTTCCGAATTTTTTGAAAAATTCATAAACGGGAGTATTATACGTGAATTATACGTTTGAGTGTATTATATGCGAATTATACGCGAATGAACTAACAGAGGCTTAGAGCCCCCATAGGCTAAGTGCATGCAGAAGAGAACATGTTGTTAATTTCGGCGGGGGTGGCACTAGAAGTGATGAGGTATATGGTGCATGTGGAAGGTTTCAGGGCAGAGGAGGAAGATTGCGGAATTCTGGTACATGACAATCAATTTAAAAGGGAGCTGAAGTCTGATCAGAAGCGGAATATGATTGCGAAGGAGGTTCCAAAGGGTATGGTGGACTAGTTGGTAGTGCCCCCCTCCCCCCGAGTTAAAGTTGCTGCTTAACAAGAGTGAAGTAGATGGATGAGTGGCAGAACGCTAGTCTCCTATTATTTTAGTTTAGGGATAAGTACACAAAAGTACATGTGGCTTGGGCCATTTTCAGATAGGGGCATGTGTTTCATTTCTTAACACACATGCCCCTATTTGAAAACGGCCTAAACCACAGATACCTTTTATGTTATTTTCCTTTTAGTTTATTGCTTTTGTTATTATTATTCCTATTGTTTTTTGTTCTTTTTTTTATCAAGACAATTACTCTGTGTTGACAGGTGGGGTTCATGAGCTTAGGGGGTTTTGTTGAGGAAAGCATTTTGACTTTTAATGTCGGTGGCTACTTCGTACCTCTCGCATATCTAGCAAAGAGTGTTGCTCTTTTGAGGGTGAAGTTTTTTATGCATAGTCAGAGAGTGAGGAGATCTTGTTTTTTATGTCCTGCAAAGTGCGTTGCTCTTTTGAGGGTGAACTTTTTATATCTAGGATGGGACCCTCGTTCGGTTATATGTGAGAGCTAGAAGGTGTGTGGTAATTTTGATGATTCATTAAAAAAAAGGACGACACCCCATTCCTGAGGGTCTCCCCAGAACCGATAGGATAATTATTTGAGAGGATGTAAGTTGAGCTTTAATCACACTCTGATGTAAAGAAAGTTGAGTTTCACTCCAAGTCATTGCTTGAAATTGAACTCGAGACATATCCTTTGTGGCACCTCATCTACTGGTATGAGCCACGCCCCACGTTTGATAGTTCAATTAAGTTTTACGGAGTAGTTGTTTTAAATTTTATTGCAGTGTATAAGAATGTTTTTATTTAGATTGTTTTCAGTCTCAGATTAACCACACTTGAATAGATTAGACCAGAAGAAGCCGGACTTAAACAAATCAAACTAGATCAGAACTGACTTCCATAGTTATAAACTGACGGATTAGACCAAATCAGTTTACACTAAGTGAGAACAGGGAAGCGTATACCATACAGCCGGCTGTACGACTGGGCACCGTACAGCCGGTGGCATTTTTGTAATTTTGATGAATTTCACGATTTGTCGTAAATGAGCATTGATGTAATTTTATTGAGCATCGAGTCTGTTCTTCTGAGTATTAAGAGCCTAACTATGAGCACTCGTGGTCTCTGCTTCATACCTTCTAATTCAGTTTCTTTTTATTAATTTCTGTTTTTAAAAAATTCTTAAATTGTGTTTGTAATTAATTTCAATATGTCAATCTATTGTAGTATGATATGTTTGATATGTGCATCATTTTCAAATGAGCATAAACCAGTACCAAATGAGCATACCTAATTTACAAAATGAGTATCAAAAAAATCAAAACTTCATTTGTGTATGCTCATTGATTTTGGGCGTTATATTTAATATATGCATCATTTTAAAATGAGCATAAAGCAATACCAAATGAGCATACATAATTTACAAAATGAGTATCTAAAAATTTAAAAGCTCATTTGTGTATGCTTATTAATTATGGGCGTTATATTTGATATGTGCATCATTTTAAAATGAGCATAAAGCAGTACCAAATGAACATACATAATTTACAAAATGAGTAAATTAATATCAGTATCGATTGAGCATATGTAGCTGAATGAGCATTAATGAACTTTTAATGAGCATCAGACCTATTATATTGAGTATTAGAAGTCTAATATTCAAAATCGTGAATAAAGAACAAAACAACAATGAGCAGAAATTGTTTTTACACCAGACTAGAGCAACGTACGGAAAAAACAAATCAAAAAATAAAAACAAATCAAAAGTACAAAACCACGAACCAGAAGGAAAGCAGAAGGAAAAAAAGTTGTAAGATTCAAAACAAAGATTCGTAACAAAGACGAAACAGGAACTAGAAGAAAACCACAAGGAAAGCATAAGGAACGAGAAGGAAAGCAGAGACGACGAACTAAAGTCTGAAACGGAGGAAAAAGGAGGAAGAAAGAAACCGACGGAAACCACGGAAACAGAAGGAAAGCAGGGAGAACTAGTAAGATTCAGCCCAGAAGTTGTATTTAATTTCAAAAATACCCGGCTGTACGGTGCTCACCGTACAGCCGGTTGTACGGTATAATTTACCCATAGCATAGTGTAGAATTTTAAGTCTGTTCTCACGGTAATTTTAAGTATACGCTTCCCTATGCTATGGCGCTGTGTTTTTTCTCTTTCCCTGTTAGCTGTGAAAATTCCAATAGTATTATCAGGGCTTAAACCCAAAACCCTACGCTGCTACTAGGGGAAACAGTCGGCCGTTCGTTCTCAACGTTTATCGAAACTTTCCAGTCTCAATGCCAATCAAACTCTTTCCACACCTCCGTTTTCTCAACTCCTGTAGTCCCATCGCCTCATTTTCCGCCATGAAACCGGGATCGTTATCTAAGCCTTCTCGAGCCATGCCCATTTTGTCTCGGGTCTTCTCGCACAAGCTTAAGTACCGACCTTTCAGGTTTCCCCTTCAGCCGCAGGCCATGAAAGGCCAGTTTGGTCACCGAAAATTATCGACCTGGTCCGGGAGAGGTGGACCCCGCGGGAAATCGGGTTCTGGCCGTGAAAGTCGGGTTCAGAAGAGTCTGGTGGATGATGAAGCTGATCTCAGTGACTGGGTTAGCGGGTTGAGGTCTGATTCGTATCTGAAAACTAAGGTTTATAGCGACAGCGATGACAATGATGATAGTGATGGTGGTGGCTTTGCTGAAAAATCTAGTAGCAGTAGAGGGACAAGGGAGAGATTGGATGACGGCGGCAGAGGGCAAAGGGGGAGAGGGGATGGCAACGGTAGAGGGCAAAGGGGGAGAGGGGATGACAACAGTAAATGGCAAAGGAGTATAGGCGATGATGGTGGCAGAGGGCGATCACTGAGAGAAGAGAGAACTTCAAGGGAGGGAGGCAGGCTTGGCAGTGAAGCAAGATCTGATAGGAGGAATGTTGGGCCTGATAGAGTGCAGTCCTTTTCAAAAAGAGGTGTGAAAACAGGAAATGAAGATAGATCCGACAGGAGAAATATGGGATCTGATCGAGTTCAGCCATTTCCGAGGAAAGGCGGGAGGTTTGAGGTCGGAGTGAAAAAGAGAGGTATGGAAGAGATTGACGCTGGATACAGTAAGGACAAGATCAGAAGTATTGGTCGTGGTGGGATGGTAAAGAAAAGTGGGAGGAATGAGATTGGTGGAAAAGGTTTATCTTTGTTAAGTGAAGATGAAGATGATGAGGATGACGACGACGAGGATAGTGGATATAAAGGGTTCAGTGGTTTGATAGACAGCAATGATGAAGACAGTGAAGAAGAAGCAGCTAGTGGGGATGATGATGATGATGATTGTACCATTGAGAAAGAAACAGTCCCATATTCTTCTTCTTCTCTGGGAAAGGAAGTTATCTCGCAGGCCTCCTCTGGAGGAGGGGTAATTGGGTCATACCTTAGTGATACTAGATTTGATCAGTTTTCACTCTCACCCCTATCACTAAAAGGAATCAAAGATGCCGGATATGAAAAGATGACACTCGTTCAAGAAGCAACCTTTCCCCTCATTTTGAAAGGCAAAGATGTCCTAGCCAAGGCCAAAACTGGAACCGGAAAAACCGTAGCATTTTTACTTCCTTCGATTGAAATCGTCCTGAAGTCAGCTCTTGCCACCCGCGACCAAAAACTCCCTCCGTTTCTTGTCCTCGTGGTGTGCCCCACCAGAGAACTTGCAAGCCAAGCGGCAGCTGAAGCCAACTCTCTTTTGAAGTATCATCCCACGATCGGGGTTCAAGTCATCATAGGTGGAACGCGTCTCGCTCTAGAGCAGAAAAGGATGCAAGTGAATCCGTGTCAGATCCTAGTTGCGACGCCCGGACGGCTCAAAGACCACATTGAGAACACGGCTGGTTTCGCGACCCGTTTAATGGGTGTCAAGGTTTTGGTTCTGGACGAGGCTGATCACTTGCTAGACATGGGTTTCCGTAAAGACATTGAGCGAATAATCTCTGCAATCCCTAAACAACGGCAAACACTCCTTTTTTCTGCCACTGTCCCCGAGGAAGTCCGTCACATCTCCCACATTGCTTTGAAAAGAGACCACGAATTCATCAACACCGTTAAGGAGGGAAGCGAGGAGACACATTCTCAAGTCCAACAGATGTATCTGGTTTCCCCTTTAGACAAACAGTTCCCACTCGTTTATTCAATGCTCAGAGACCACATTGCTGAGGATGTGAATTATAAGGTTCTTGTCTTTTGCACGACAGCTATGGTAACAAGGCTCGTAGCAGAGCTTCTCGGGGAGCTTCACCTGAATGTTCGGGAAATACATTCCCGAAAACCCCAAAGCTACCGAACACGGGTTTCGGACGAGTTCAGGAAATCAAAAGGCCTTATCCTTGTGACGTCTGATGTGTCAGCCCGTGGAGTGGATTATCCCGACGTGACCCTTGTGATACAGATTGGGCTCCCATCTGACAGACAGCAGTACATACATAGGCTGGGACGGACGGGGAGGAAGGGTAAAGAAGGGAAAGGGGTGCTGTTGTTGGCGCCTTGGGAGGAGTTTTTCTTGTCGACCGTCAAAGATTTGCCTATGAAAAAGGCAGGAGCTCCATTGGTTGATCCGGAAATGAAGAAGAAAGTTGAGAAGGCCCTTTCACTCGTTCAGATGAAGAACAAAGAAGCTGCTTACCAGGCTTGGCTCGGGTATTATAATTCAATCAAGACTGTTGGTGGGGACAAGTATAGGCTTGTTGAGTTGGCCAATGAGTTTAGTAGGAGCATGGGGCTTGACAACCCTCCTGCCGTTTCTAAGCTCGTGCTGGGTAAGATGGGGCTTAAGAATATTCCTGGCTTGCGTTCCAAGTAGGTATGAGGAGGGAGTTTCATACTAAACTTGTTGGGTTTTGTAGATTTTCAGTTTATTGATGTTCTTAAAGGACATTATGTTTCTTTTCTGCATTTCGTAATGTTCATTGATGTGGATCAGTTTTTCTTCTGCTCTATTTAACGCTTGTTCCTCTTACTCCAAATCGAAGTCTTTTTATCGCATATTTACTGATGAAATTGGTTGAATATAAATGAGTAGTAAAAAAGTGAAATAGTACATCCATGATTTGTCAGGTTGATATTCTTGCTAGTCATTCATCATTTGAAGATTCAAATACCCATCTTCGACCGAATTTATTATGATACAGAGAGTCAGTGATGGACCATTAGTTGGACTCAGATTCCTAAATTGTTTCTTAGTGCAACTTATGGGACTTGCTGGTCTAATATCACTTGCAACAACAATCGTCAAATAGAGCCCTCTTCTCTCTCAGCAATCTTTGGTCGGCAATATTTTTTATACTCAGTTTCATTCCCGGACTATTGTTGGATTTGTCGAAGCCCTCCGTACCTAACGGCAATAAAATCAAAGCAACAACTCCCTTACTACAAGGGGTTGGTTTTCCAGAAATCAAAAGGAGAAGAGAATGACCGCATGATCAGCTAACTCTGATGATAAACTCAAAATGGTAGCTTTTGTTGGTTTTATGTCTCTACACAATTTCATGGGTGCCTTTTCTCTGGTATTTTCTTAATCATAATTTTCTTTATGAAGTTGCAATAACATTTTTTTGAACTGTGGAACTTTGTTTTACTCTTTTTTGAAACTTAAAATCATTTCCCAAAGCAAAGTATTTCTGAATTAACTATTGAAAGGTCAGATCAAGTTCACTTCAAAAACATCTTTTTATGTTGGAAGCCTTGGAGGATTGAATCAGATGTCATGTAAGAATTAAGAACATTTTCGAGTTTGATTCAGACTGATTTAGGGTTGTTTTTGCGGATTAAGACCACTTCAGATGTTTTCTTTTGGACTGTTTTCAGTCCCAGACCAGACTTAAACACACTAGATCAGAACAGACTTGGACAGTTATAAAATACACAGAGACCAGACATTTACCAAATCAAATCAGACCAGATCAGACCAGACTAACAAATTTCAGTGCAAAAGAAAACATCCTTAAAGGGAACATTTCTTTCATTAATTGAATCTTTAGAGGTTCTTCGCTGGCTCTTTCAGTAGTTAGTTTAAAAGTTGATAATGAGTTAATTAAGACCATTAAAATTGAATACAAAATTCAAATCCGAGTCATGCTCACCTACTCTTATTAAACAATCGGTTTGTGATATGTAGGAATGGATGCTTGAGATTCTTAAGGCGTTCAGCATATGTGTTGTACTTTGAGAAGTTTTTAACATGTCTTGGTGGTAAGGTGAGACTTGAAGATGGGAAATGGCAAAATTTTGTCCCAATGTGGGTGTAAAACATTCATTGGTGCTTATAGTTTTGGATCACAACTTTCATACATCATCTCAATGATATTTTTTATTTGAATGCTTCCTTTAACAATATGCAGATGCCACAACTCTTGTGTACTCAGAGCTAATGTCCAGGTTCTGAGTGCTCCTTTTTATTTTCCTTTCTGTTGAGGGATCTTGTTTCTCCTATGTTTCTAAAAGTATTAACTCTGCAGGTTATTTGCTCTCACTCTCTTGATCAGTTTGTATTTCTGTTTTCTAAGTATTACTTAATTCAATACTATGAACAATTATTGCAAGGGGATGAACTTTACTTATGAAGTGACAGGTCTCTGTTGAGGCAGTGGAAAGTGTGTGGGCAACCCAAGTGATCGTAGCTACAGGAATAAACAAGAAATGTAAGCAGTTCCTTGAGCATCACTGCTCTTAAAGTTCCATATAGGTCTATGCCCTCCCTTGACCACCCCCACATGAGTTTACAATGATTGAGAAATATTCAAATGTTGTTTAGGAACAAGTTGAAGGAAGCAGCTGAAAGCATAGGCCTTCCCCACTTCTGTTGCAGATGCTGGGCGTACACTGGTATTTTCATGACCTTATCCGTGAAACTGAAAAGTAGGTCTAATAGTTTGTATTGAAGTTACATGAAGTAATCCTTTTGTTGCCAATTATTTAAAAAGTTATGTTGAGCATATGTTTGGATTCTGTTATTAAAATGTTAGTCAACTCGTACTATTTTAGAAGTTCTATCCATTAACGGAGTGTGTATGTTGAAGGAGGAAAGTAACAATTTCTGTAGTAAATAAAAGGGGGTAACTCAATTCCCTACTGAACACCAAACACTAATTTAAAAGTAATTTTTCTGTAAATTTGAATCCAAATCTATAGGGACTATGGGTGACTGCAGCGATTTTTTTACCACCAAGCTTGGTGGGAGTATAGTCTAGGCAGCCTACCATATTTTATTAATAGATAATTAAATATATTAAGATCGTCTTCCTGATTTCTAACAACCACACCCCCAATTGCACATTTGCACAGGTCTTGGTTTGTATTGAATTTATTTTGAGGCACACACGACTTTAGTGCCGTCATCCGTCTAGAGGGAGGGAGGTCCTAATGTAAAGGAAGTGTAAGGCTTGATTGCTCCTGATTTATAGCTGTTTGAAATCCTTACAAATATTGAAAGATAGCACCACGTGTTGAAGCATTCGCATTTTGGGTTCACCTTGAGCCCCTTGAACTTAACTGCATGTCCGTTTTCCATATTCCTGGGGAATAAAAAGATACCAATGCTACTCCTCTTCACATTATTTTCAGATTGGAGCCACAGCCACCAGTTCATCATCCAGGATTTCAGAGTCGCAGTTCCTAAGCTTTATCCCATATCTCACACAGTTGACAGTAAGAATCAATGGTTTAGACTTTCTTCATTATCACAATATAGAGGCATTTGGAGGCCAATCGAACCCTTAGAATTATAAGGCTTTCCAAATCCTCCAGACTAACATTAGGCCAAGGAGAATTGAGTAGGTATCCAATTATTCGAGAAAAACTTGTAAGAAAATTGGATTTCCAAGGAGCCTTTTGTTTTGAGAGGTACTCTTTTAAAAGTGTTCTAATTCTCATGTCTTCGAAATTCAGGGCTTCGTTGTTACAAGCCCCGGAACTTGATGATCCAACCAGAGGAAAACACCACCCTTCACAATAAATCTAATGCTCTTTTCACCATCTTGTTCGGAGTTGGATTCCATGGAAAAGTATGAATACTTTTCTTTAGAAGTGTTTTCTAGAGAATTCTCAGATGAGCTCTAAGATGCGTGTACAAAATGAAGATTTGGTAAATAGGGATTAAATCCTGAATTCTTACATTAAATTGATGTAGTCGTACTTAGTTTTAGGATTACTAGCTTAATATATTCCCAACTATCCTCAAATTCACAAATCGATCATATTTTTAACTTTTATGAAAAAATCCCAACTTCAACTTGTTTTTTACAATTATACTTTATGCGACTTGATTAGTAGTGTAATATTTAAAAACAAAATCTTACGGAGTATTTCTATTTCATCATTTCCATTTGTTTCTAGTTATAGAGAAGCTAGTACTTCATTCTATTATTCATTTAACTAGTATGTTACCCGTGCAATGCACGGGATAATATTATATTTCAGTCAACATTCTGATTTGTGTAATATGTTAATCAACACTTTCTCCGGATTTTAAAGTTTGCTACACTTTATTTTTCTGAATGTATTTAAAAAATTGCTAAACTTTCTCTCTTTGATCAGTTTCTTTGAAAAGTTCTCTTACTTTTTCTACACTATTTACTATCTCTACTATTTCACCCTTAAATGATGTGTCCAAACCTTTCAAATACGGAGGAGTATTTATTAGAAAGTTTAACTTTAACTTGTGTAAAATAATAATTTTGAATATGATCGACTATTTTAACCTTATAAGAATGAATAGTAGTTTTTAATAATCTAAAAAGTATGTGTATTTTAATCTTATAAAATGAATAATAGTTTTTAATAATCTAAAAACTGCACTTGTATTTTAATCTTATTATAAGTGCATTAGTGCATACCTGTAATATTACTTCTCATGGACTGGTGGATAACCAAAGCTTCAAACCCAACAAATGCTAGAATTATTAATGTCATTGATATAACGATCAAATCACACATGCATGTGTGAACGTGATTGTAAAATCAAAGTATTCAAAACAATTCGATTTGTATAACAGTATAAGACAATGGAAGTAATAACCACAATAAGGGAAGTAGTGCTACGGAGAACAAATAATTGTTTTCAAGGAGGAAACTAAAAACAGTTAAATGAAGCATCGGTTTGTAAACTATGTAATGGTCTACCCAACGGTTGCCAAACTTAGAAATCAGTAATAACCGGTTAATGAACAGATGGGAACCGTTATTACTACGTATTTCCTTGGTTTCCCTTTTTATATTAGTATAGATATTATATAAACAAAAATATTGTAAATGTAGAACATGTGAATTAACGGTTCTCCAGCGCCTTGGAAGATTTCCATTAGTGGTGGACTCGGTTCGGGCCGGGCCCGGTTCGGGCATTGAACCGGCCGGGCCTCGGTTCAAGGTAGGGGAGGCCCGGAACCGGCCCGGGTAACCCTGGGTCCGGTTCGGGCCGGGCCGGGCTCGGTTCGGTTCTATATAATTTTTTTTTTTGGGTTTTCCTAATCAACCCCCTACCCTCCCTCTAAACCCCAAACCACCTCAAATGCCCAAAATACTCAATCCAACCCAAAAACATAAAAAAAATTCAAAAAAAAAATATTAAATCCGGCCCGAACCGGCCGGGCCGGTTCACCAAAATGAAGGCCCGAGCCCGGAACCGGTAGCCACCGGGCCGGGTTGACCCGAACCGCCCATGGGCCGGGCCGGTTCAGACAGTGACTGGGCAGGGCCGGTTCCGGCCACCCGGCCCGAGTCCACCCCTAATTTCCATTGAACCTGGCCGGCCTTTCCTCCGGTAAAAGGAAAACACAGCAGGTACGGATGAAGAGATAACAACAATTCCGGTCTAAGTGCCAGCAAACTGAAGTTGTTATAAATTTAAAATTCCGGAAGGCAGATAAAGCGAAGGATTGTTTAATTTAGTTTTCGTTTTTTGCGTTTGACGAGGCTGGACAAAGAGGACGTTGACGAGGAAAAAGTATGTATGTATGGCTTATGGTAAAAAACAGCCAGTATTCAATCCAAATTTACAACACAAAAATGGTTAAATCCTTGAGAACACTGTTTCCC